GAACTATTTTTGATAAACCGTGGCTCTGGAAGGACCCTGCTAAAATTGAACGAGGCTTCTTTAATCTCATATCGCTGACCAAAGTGCGAAAATGCTTACCTCTGTTTGCGACGTTGCAGATTTACTGTCATAATTTATTTTTTCTTCGGAGAGGTTGTCAACTTTATTTCTTGAAAACTTATTCCTCGATTTCTCTTCTCTGTTTACAGAATATTCTGTATAGATTTCGAGTCAAAATGTTGACTTTTTTTCTTCAAAAACATAAAAGAGGCGTGAAAATTTTGAAACACTGCAACGGAGATACATCGTTTCGCATTTTAGTCAAGGGACCCTAATGCAACCCTGCTAGGCACTTTCTCTGCGCGGTAGAACACGAAGACGTGATTCGGTGAGCCCACTACGGCAACAGAAGCTCGAGCCCTAATCTGAATGGAATTAAGATACGCGCGAGAATCTACTCACACACTTGTTAATTAAAGTAACAAGTTCATTGTGGGCTCTGAGTTCCAGCTTCGCCCTCAAATTTCTCGGCCTTATGAATAATTTATTCCCCGCGCAAGGCGCCTCGTACTTCATATAAAAGGCTTTCCTTTTCTCAGCCTCCCTCTCGCCTGCTCCGCTCCCCTGTCTTGGCTGGAGCCCTGCAGGTCAACTTTTCTGCATAATCATGTGGTCTAATGACCCATTTTCGGGTGGGCGAAGAGAGTATCGCCCAGTAACTGTGCCATCGCTTCGAAAGTGCACCGCGAATCAACAGAGAGGAATGCTATGGAACGAATGGGCTACCTGTTATGGAATCGTCGTTTGACGGTCGAATCTTTCGTGCGCTTAGCTAAAAATAATATTGAACCCAAAGTTTCTATAATATTGTAATTGTTATGGGAAATGTATTTTTTAAACGACACGTTGATGCTAATCACTCTGCTGGTAGCAGCATTCACTGCAAATTCACAAGCCTATAACTATGGAAACAGCGTCCGCAAACCTTGTCTTCTTCAAAGTGTGAATTTATTGGTTGCTGACTTTAAAATTCGTTCAGAAAATTAAGTTTCAAATTTTTGCGTGTCCATTCCGTCTATGCAAAATTCGTCCCTCCCTTAGTATATTTATTTCGGTTTATTTTCTTATTTTGTAAGGACCTCTTTGCTTGCCTTCATCACAACTAAAAACGTCCTACACCTCTAATCATATTCCGACCATACATTATCTCATAAAATGAACCACTCAACTTACCTTTTTGTCAACTTTTGCGTCATCCGAATGCAGAGGTGTGCCCTACAATTTGACCAAAAAATTTTTACTGCTGCTAGTTTGCATGACAGATTGATAAAAATTAACGCAGAAGCCAGACAATACACGGAGAAATAAACTCCCTGCATGGGACCCGAAGTTGAGGTCATATGGATCTCTGAAGTTTTCGGATCACGTATGTAAAAACTTGAGGTGCAGCTGCCAAAGTTCGGGTCAGACATCTGAAATACTTCGATGTATACCGAAGGGTTTGGGTCACACATCTGAAGTACTCCGGTGCGTACCGAAGTGCCTCGATGTCTGACCCGAACTTTGGCAGCTCGACCTCAAGTTTTTGGATGCGTGATCAGAAAACTTCAGAGATCCATACGACCTCAACTTCGAGTCCCATGCAGGAAGTTTTTTTCTCCGTGCAGGCAATTAAAGGTTGAGCTTCGAAAGGAGAAATCTCTACCCTTTTTCTCTATAACATTATTGACCTGCAATAATGAAACTTTCAAAACAGATCCCATCCAGGAGAAAAGGCTGAAACCGAGGGAGGAACGAAAACTTTCTCAGGATCTCTACATCGCGTCAGGTTTCGAGTTAACTGGTTCTATCGCTTTTATTTCTAATAAACGGGAAATAGCTGGCTTTCAAGAAAGGCGCACCGTTACGCTTCATGTAGCGATTCCTTAAACGCGATATTCGAGGCTGAATAATCCGGAGCCTGGGGTGCAAAGGGCGGGCCGGCCGCTCCAACTCCACTCTTATGTCTTATCGCCTGCATCTGGGCCATCCTTGATTCCTTGCTGCGCGGAGCTCTCGTTCCGAGGTTTCTCTCTGCCCCTGCGGCCCATTTCCGAGTTGCAGGGATCCGCAAGACGAGACGTGCACCAACTCCTCAAAATTTTTCGCGGCCAGACCCAACACTCAGCCACCTACTCTTCGAGGGAGGAGGCCCGGGTCGAGGGGAGTGCATGGGCAGAAACTGAAGGGGGGGGGGTTACCGACTACCTACCGCCTCCCCTCAGCAATCGACTTTGCCCCTCACGAAAGATGTAAGTTATTTTGTCTAATAAGTGCGTGGTATATCATTCATCTTAGAAATTGTATTTCAATTAATTTTTCGGTAGGAACATTGGTTCAAAATTGCTCCTGAAACGACTCGATTTTTCAAAACGTTTGCAGGGAGACTCCTCAGATCCCCCAAAAATTCGTCCATTTTTTCTTTCCGGAGAGATGTTGTGTAGTACAGCACTATTTACCGCTATTAGGAAGACAATTGTAAAAAATTGAACTTAAAAGGAAATAAAGCAACGCGAAATGATGTAGGCTGATTTGTTTTTTAAATTTGTCCATAATCAATACCATTCTGAAGCGCATCGGTGCCGGTCCAGCGTTAAAACTCAACATCATCATCATCATCCTTCCTTCATGCTAGTGTTGAGTGGGTGCCTCACAAGTTGGAAGGCCGCACGGTGGATCGAGTCAATAGGAAAAGTCGGACAAACTTTGAAAAATTTAAACGCTTATAACTCCGTTTGTACAAAACTTGGTGGTCACAAAGATGATTTCATTGGTTTCCGCATAGACTTTTCTTCTAGAAGCACCCCTTAAAATGTAAATTGTGTCGAAATAAACATCAGAAATTGCAATTTCAGTCAAAATTTAATGTCCAACCTCTCGAATTGGCTCGATCCACTGCGGGCCGGTGGGAGCTTTCTCATTAATATGCGTCCGATGCCGGACTCAAACCCGGGACCTTACTCGCGCGCAGAGCATCCGGTCATCTTTTTGTCCTCATCAGCGGTATGCAGATTTATGGTGGCTACTGAAACTTACCCCTCGCGCCGCTCGTTCACTCTTACTGTCGATGGTTCTAATGTATGGAATGCGAGTCTATGTTGAATCGTGGCTGCGATGCTTTGTTCGGCTCGAAGCGGCTACAAGCCCCAGCTGTGCAGGATGCTGCGGTCCATTACAATGAAAGCAGACCGACGAATGCAATGCTCTCGGTAGACACTGATACGCAAGAGGTTTCTGAATAAATAAATGGAAGAAATCTAAAACATAGTAAGCGCCTTATTTTCAATATTGCCTCTCTCATTCCATGGGAACCCAGTGGCTTGATAATAACAACTCTTGTCATGTAAATTTAAGATCACAATGTAGGGAAATTTATCTTTTGGATAAGTCTGTAAAGCGGAGGCATGCATTCAAGCGATTTTACAGTGTGGATTCCATACATAAAAGCCGGTGTCACAGCGCTCTTTGACGCTCTGCGACACCTAGCCGCCAAAGTCCTCCATCCTCCCAAAGCCCGCCAGGGAATCAGGATGTACAGTGTGGAATAACATGCAAAATCTTAGCAACGCCCGATTCCATGAGCTCGACGAGGGAAATATCGTCATCGAATCAATTCGATTAATACCGCGTTTGAAATATCATTGAACAAATTGCCACTCAAGACTCCTGGCCGATACATGAAAGATTTCGAGGAAAGTCGAAGTGGCTTCGATCGAGTATACGCAACGCCGCTCTTCGTGAGTGAGTGCCCGACGCAATGACGTAATCTGTCGTCGCCCAACGCCTCTCCCGTGGGAATTTTTCGCGCGGTGTTGCCATGTCTCCCCTGTTTTAACCCGGTTCCGTATGGTAAAGGCAACGAAATACTCAACGTTTGGCAGCCTCGTAGCGCCGAAAGCGCCTCCGAAGATGCGCTTTGTCCGCACTGATAACAGCGGATCAACTGCGTTCCGAAGTCACGCTCTGCTGCCGAGTTTCCGCGGCGGAAAGTAGCGTGCCAGCGCCCTCTGGGAGGCCACCGTGCAACTTTCGCGTCACGAGCGTGGATTTTCGGCGGCGCGTTGCGTAACGGAACGTGCGGACAGACCCGAAATCGGGGAGCAATCGGGAAGCGGGAGGAGGCCTCCTGAGCGTGGGTGCATAACCCTTGCAACTGGTGAAAGTCATAATATAAGTCGACCGAAAACCCTTCAGAGGTTTTTAATTTTCCCGTCGAAGCTTTGCGAGTCGGCCGTTGATTTTCGAAAGAGTGCGTCACGGTTCTTCTATGTTTTGACGAGAGAGTGATGAGTTTTTGGTAAAAACACATCTTGCGTGCAGGTTTCCTTTATTTATTTATTTATTTGATCATGTTTTGTTTGGGGATTTTTTTGTAAATTGATCCCTCAGGAATATCCCTGGCCGACTGAACCCCTCGAGGACGATTCACACCCCCAAAGAACCACCCCCTCACCGAAAAAAAAGTGAAGTTGATTTAACGTTCCGGTGTAAAAAAAGTGTGCAAAAACTTAAAAATTGCTGAATTACCCACCACAGCAGTTAGTTTTACATCTTGGCATTGCGAAAAGAAAACTGCTGTAGCTGGTAATTGAGCGTTTCATAAGTTCTCACACACTTCCTTTACATCTAGAGAAGTGTGTGTACGTTTTTTTCGGTGCTGGGTCACATTTTAAAAATTTAAAAATATGGGCTTACGTAGGGATCATCACCCACTGATAACCGCAAAAATCTTGGAAATCAGTCTTACACGCGTCTCTTTAACGAGGTGTGACGAAAAATGGAAATTGAAAGCATTTGACAGGAAAAATTCACAATTTCATCACTTAATATTATCTGGATATCTCAAACATGTGAAGAAAATGGGTTCATTGAGGGGTTAGTATCTGTCGATATTTGGAATTTAGTCCAGTAGATTTCTCAGTTAGGCAATAGGAGGAAAAGAAAATCCGGGGAGTCAGAAAGCTGCTGAATATTGGTTTTTTATTAACTTGTTTTCACCAGATACAATTGCGTTCGCCACGAAAAGTAAAATGTACATTTTTTCCTATTACTCCCGTGCTCTTTGAAAATTCAAGAGCCTAGCGACGGATACTAGCACTTGTCTGCTCAAATACTCGTCATCCGAAGTTGTGCAGAGTCTTCACCACCACCCGGAAAACGGCCAAAACGAGGTGAAAAACCCTCCTAGCGAACGCCTCTTCGCGTCCCTGGCGGGCCGGGGTCTGGCCAGCGCGGCGCCCCAATTCGGATCCCGTGCCGCCTGGAGCGCCTTCCGAACGCGCTCTTCCCTCCCCTGGGCGAACTTGGGCCACTTGGCCTCGAAGGCCTGGATCTCAGCGTAGCTCATGGGCTCCCCGACCTTGACGTTGGCGTACCAGCTGGAGCCGTCCGGGGACTTCTGGTAGATGGGTTCTTTGCCGGCCACCACGTCCGTGTAGCTCTCGCAGATGGTCGTACCGCCGACGACCAGGGCGCCCTCCTTCAGTGCGATCGCAGCGACCCCGACGGAGTTTCCCCGAATGATGACGTTCCCGTCGTTCCAAGAGATCTTCCCGGGGAACGTGATCGTGAAGGCGTATATCCTGTCGCTTGCGACCTAGCAAAAATTTCATTCGGGAACAATGGGCCTGTTGCATGCAAGAGATACAGCCGCGCGAATAGACTTTTCAGAGGTTAAATGACACGAAAATTACGATGGTCACATTAAAAAAGTCTGAAATACACGCCTTACTTCGCAATTTGCGTTGTCAGGAACGCGCTTTTTCAAATTTCCCGCGTCCGGGGGCGCTTTTCCAATCACCGGAAACGAGCAACCGGCGGGCTCGGTGATTTCCGGAAGATGCCGAGTCGTTGTTGTTGTTGTCATTGTTTCCTTCAGTTTGTTTACAAACCCAACGTAATCTCCTACAGTGGTTCATATACGCTTTATGCGGTAACCAAATCGATCAACTTTTAAATATCCAACGCAATCCTTCTACATTTCATTTCACGATGTCACGAGCTCCGATTTTTAGGTTAAGTTGTCAGTTTTAGTTGACCGGAAATAGCCGCGAGTAGCCGTTAATTGTTTCCGTTAGAAAACTGCCCCCAGACGCGGGAAATTTGAAAAAGCGCGTTCCTAACAACACAAATTGCGCAGTAAGGAGTGTATTTCAGACTTTTTTAATGTGACCATCGTAATTTTCGTGTCATTTAACCTCTAAAAAGTCTATTCGCACGGCTGTATCTCTTGCATGCAACAGGCCCATTTGACGGGCAGCATAACGTGTAAGTTCGATTATCGATATTTCCCCATTTGAAACTATGGTGAAGTATCGACTATTAAGGTGTTCGTTGCAAACACCCTGTTTATATCGATTTTTCCATCGGTTTACATGGCAGGTCAATTGAATTGCATTTTGCAAAAAGGAACCAGGAGCATTGCAATGTTGCAAAAATTATGCAACTTCTTTTGTCTTGTGAGAAAAACCTGATTACCCATTGAAAGTTTCCATCTCACTCGCTAAAAACTGTAAATTTAAGACAAAAATTACCATGTAAATTTCGTATTTTTTTCAGGATTTCAGTAATTATATTGCAGAGGATGAAAATGCGTCATCCTAGCATCATTGCAATGCGTCTGGTTCCTTTTTGCGAAATGCAATCCAATTGATACATCGCAAAGCACGCTACGCCACTGGTGATAGGGTTTATGAGAAGAGACCTTATTTTTCAAAAATTGAAAATCGTGTTATTGTCATCACTGCATAGAGGAAATAAATCTGGACATTTTAACGCAAGTTTAACCGTAAAAGCATAAAAATTGGGAGATATGACGTCTTAAAGTTCTCTGACGAAAATTGTAAAGTTTTAGGTTAAAGTTTTACGTAACATTTTTATTTCTACAACCAATGAAAAAAGAATATTAAAGATGAGGAAGACTTCGTCGGGTGCCTCGCACTTTACTTACCCAGAGAACAAGACCCACAAGCAGGAGCGAGACATGGTTTTTCCGGTACGCCATGTCTATGACAAACTAGAACTAATGAACCTCCGAGTGAAACAGTGATTTTATTTAGGAGTTTTTACGCATCTAGCATTAAATAATGACATGTTCATTTCCAAGTGACGTTCGATTTTCATTTGGAAAACTAGCGTTTTGCCGCAAGCTGCTTACAACACGCAACTTCCCCGAACGTGCGTTCATTAATCCTGTTTTTAAAATTATCATAAAAAACGGCTGTCTGATCAATTTAATGGGATTTTCACGCTCTAAAAAGCAATGACGTAGATAATGATTCTGTAAAGTTGTGTATTACGCGAAATGCGCAACATTTTCAAGGATGAAAGCTCACGATCAGTTTGCCAAAAAGTGAAACCTACATGAAATCCCAATTCCACTCAGCTCCTCGAAATTTGCCCCTCGAAGTTTGACGATCGATTTCAATTTGGAAAACTAGCGTTCTGCCGCAAGCTGCTTATAACACAACTTCCCCGAACCGTGCGTTCATTAATCATGTTTTTAAAATTATCATTAAAAACGGCTGTCTGATCAATTTAATGGGATTTTCACGCTCTAAAAAGGAGTGACGTAGATAATGATTCTTATTATCTGCAAAGTCGTGTATTGAGCGGAATGCGCAACGTTTTCAAGGATGAAAGGTCACGATCAGTTTGCCGAAAAGTGAAACCTACATGAAATCCTAATTCCACTCAGCTCCTCGAAATTTGCAGAGCAGGATTTAAAAATTTAAAAAAAATGTCTTTGATGATCAATCAAGCTAATGCTGGATCAGCCTTTATCGTTTCCTATTTCAGGAAATACCGTTGCGCAAGTCAAAGGATCTTATTTTGATGGTTCTAGCATTAACAATAAGGATCTTTTCAAACACGGAGTTTTTACGTCCAATATGTCGGATTCATATTCGTCGATCATATGTCTGGACTTTCTTTTCAGTATCAACCAGATAGATGGCTAATTATTGCCAATTGGTTACGTGAAGATTGCGCTATATCGAGGCAATAATATGAACTCTCACCATATCACCCATATAACCAAATAAGCCTACTTTACCCTAATTCACGCTCGGACGTGCCTCGAGCCGGCTCCGAACCGAACGAGTTTTTTAATCAAAAGGAGGCAAAAGCACCGATATCTACGCTGCTGTGCTACGGGAAAACACCGTATAAACCTTCAGGCGTTGCCAAATTTTCTTTGATAAAACACGAACTCCCTGGTAAACTTATGAATATTTTTCTTCCAATTTTTCAGTGCTTTTTTCTCAGTATTTTGATCTAAAATTCTTAAAGATTTCAAGGAAAAATATTCATAGCCTCCCTTAATAATAACTAAAAGACACTTGGCAACTCTCGAATGCTCATACGGCGTTCTTCCTTAGCACGGCAGTACGATTCCGCAAAGCGTCGGGTTCTGGGGGCAGTCGAAAGGGCGCACAAGAGATCGAGCCGACAGGAGAGGTCGGACACGACATTTTTGACTGGAACCGCAAACCTGGATATTCATCTCGAGAAATTTTAAAGAGGAGTGTTTATTGAAGTAAATTTTACGAGAAAACCAACGGGACCACTATTAAGACCTCCACGTTTCGTAACCAGAGATGGAAAATTTCATGAAATTTATTCGAGTGAAATTTCTCGAGTAAAATTTCATAAAATTTCATGAAATTTCACGGAGTTTCACGGAATTTCATGAAATTCATTGAAACTCTCGGGGATGGATTCAGGAGGCTAAGAAACGCCTAGAAACAGTAATTCTAAATTTTGAAATGTATTACCCCAAGCGTAAAACAATCGCGCGTTGCAAATGTTTTCGTTAAGTTTAGAGGTTAGGTTGGGGTTTTTCTCTCTAAACTCCCCTTTTTGCCTCCTCTTTGTGTCAGGCACCTTCAGTAGAGTAGCATAATACCGCAGCGTCAACAGAAAGACCATCTGAAACGCTTTCAGACCTCCAAAGGTTTAATCAATAATTCTAAAAAAAAAATTAATAAATTTCAACTTCAGTGAAATTTGTTCGAGACTTATGAAATTTCACTTTCCATCTCTGTTCGTGATAATGGAGATATGAGCTTTTAACATTTTTGAATTCTGTCCGACCTCTCCCGCTGACTCGTTCCATTGTGGGGCGGGAGGGGGGTTGGCCGGGGCGATGACGAAATGCACACATGGACGCGCGGAGTGGCTTCGGGTTCGGATTCCCATGCTCGGATCTACACTCTACGTGCTCGGCGTCGGCACTCGCCCATTCCGAAATCGCCGCGCCGCGACGCCGACCGCGGATCGCACTTTGACCCAGATCCCCCCCCCCCCCGGGTCCCAGCCCCGGCCGCATCATCCCGGCGAGAATGCATGCATGGAAACATACGATCGGGAGCCCCCGATCCTCTGGAATCCGATCCATTTTGATACGTGCCGATGGCGTCATTTCCAATATACGTGCTATGCTGTTCTCCGTTCCCATTGACGCCGAGCAGGGGCGTCGTTTGGGAGGGGGGAGGGCTATATCACACCCCCCCCCTCTCCCCGCTACACCCCCTGGAGTGTTTTAAGGTTGACCTTTCTCGAAGGCAATTTACGTTTTGTCTCGTCGAGAGTGCTTACAAGTGTGATGAAACAGGCGATATACGACCTGAGGTGGTAACTTGAACGAAACCGAGGGTGCATCGAAATTTTCTAGTAGAATAGACTGTAATATAATTTGCCGCTAAGCAATATTTGTAGATATTGAATTAGACACCGTCGCATCGAGTGGCAGAAGTTGGTCTCAAATTATTGTGCCGTGAAAAGAACAAAAAATGTACGACAATTTCATTGCCTTGACTTCCCCCGGCCCCGAGTTAGTAAGGGCCTAGCTTCTACACGAAGAAGAAACTTCGTGCGTGGGACCCGAAGTTGAGGGCATATTGATCTCTGAAGTTTTCTGATCACGCATCCGAGAACTTGAGGTCGAGCTGCCGGAGTTCGGGTCAGACATGAATGCCCTTCGGTATGTACCGGAGTACTTCAGATGTGTGACCCGAATCCTTTGGTATATATCGAGGTACTTCAGATGTCTCACCCGAACTTCGGCAGCTCGACCTCGAGTGTTTAGATACGTGATCCGAAAACTTCAGAGATCCATATGACCTCAACTTCGGGTCCCACGCACGAAGTTTTTTCCTCCGTGTACCATCCTGTTACTTACAGTTAAAGTCATAGTTTTGGTGGTCTTTGTTTTCTCCCCTCAAACAGATCACTATTCGACGGTGAAACTACCAAACCACGTATCTCGGTTTGCGACGTCGCAGACTTCCTGTCATACTTTATTTTTCAAATGAAAAACTACTTAACATCCAGTCTTGAAAATTTCTGTGATTTTTCCTCTTTGTGGGGAGAAAATTCCGTGAAAATTTCAAGGAATGATAAGGATTTGGTCTACTTCAAAAAAATAAAATGTGACCGTAGATTTTTAAACACCGCAAACGAGATACGTGGTTTGGTAGTTTCACCGTCGTATTGCTTTGTGGAATATGTTTTCTAGCCTTTTGTGGAAATCAGAGACAATATAGCGGTATACTTGATCTCCCCGTCCTTCTTCGTGTCAATTCCGCTGCCTCTAAATTTTTAGTCAAAAAATGCGTGTGGAGTCGGAGAGTTTAAGTAATGATACTTTGCTGAAAGGTGTGATCACACTCAAATCTCAGCTGCAGGGCCCGAATCATTCGAGGTACGGATATTGCCGATTTTTCTTCAACCAAGATACGTCATCTCCATCCCTTTCCGTGTTTAGTCCAAGTTTTCCGTCCAAAAACGTGTGGTGGGGGCTATCACTTGCCTAGCTCTCCCTTGGAGTATCGCCCTCACTCTTGTCCCCCGCGACAGAATCAGATCCGTGCAACGGACCCGTATTATACGTCCCTGGCAGCCCGGAGCCTCGTTTGAATAAATCAGCCTGCTCAATGAGGGTATAAACATCGGAGTGAGGTCGCGTAATTACGTAATTACTGCCCCAGTTCACACATGCGACACGATACTGGCTGTGACCACGGAAGGTGGCAGGGCGCGCCACCTCCGCCGATCCGAACACACCGATTGTGGCCAAGTCACCTCACCTCACCTGTCTCTGACGATGATTGACGGGATCGGCTTTGGTTTGGACCGAATCCATATTGATAAAAAATGTCGATCTCATGAGCCAAATGTCCGAGGTTCCATGCCGATCGAACTTTTCGATTTCTCAAAAAGAAATGTTCAGCAGTGTTGAATGTTGAAAGTCTGACGATTGAAAGTCTCCTGTGCGAGGTTAGGAAAGATATTGCTTAACTCAATGTCAATCGCAGTACCAAGAGGGGCTCTTGTAAAAATCCAAGACCGACTTAGAGAGGAAGAAGAAATTGAAGCAATTTTTTTGGTATTTTGTTGTTTACTCAATTCTTTGTGTTTGTTTAATTTAAATAATTACGTAATTTTTTATCGAGCTCAATTATTATCTTAATCCCACTAAATACTCCATTTTTACTAATTTATATATACCGGCGCAAATTCGTCGCAAAAATAAGAGAGCCCCGTCCCGTGGGGATAGTAACATGCGAAAAATCCCCGAACTTTGTTAAACATTTTGAAGTGAAATTATGTGCTGAAGTATATGTAGCGCCCAAAAACTTCAAGTATTATGAATGCAGAGCGGAATCCACTCTTTTTGCGAAGTGTCATACGCTTTTATGGCGATCATTTCGCATTCATATTACTCAGGAATTTGGGCGCTGTAGAGACTCCTGCACCGAATTTCACTCTTCGATTCTTAACAGAATAAATCATTTCTGCGATTCGACGATTATAGGACATTCCGTCAACGATTTTTTGTCCGCGCACCTGTTTTTCCCACTAATTTACGTCCACGTATAATACTGTGCAACACCTCTGTTGTGAAATAGTTGCTTCAGGCGCCGCCGTACGGCGGACGGGCGGCCAGCGCCAAACGCGCATTGGCGCCTACAAACCTAAAGGGATACTTCAAGCATTGTGCAATGCGTGAAGTATCCACTTAGGTTCGTAGGCGCCTGCGC